CCCAAGGCTTAGTCCTGGGCCCTGTGCTCCTCAATACTTTTATTAATAGATGAGGGAGTGCAGGGAATGCTTGTCAGATTTTCAGATGATAGCAAATTGGGTAGAATAGTTAATACCCTAGAAGACAGAAACAAAATTCAAAATGACCTTGACAGGATGACCTTGACTGGGCTGAAAGCAATAGAATGAAATTCAACAGGGCTAAATACAAAGTACTGCACCTCGGAAAAAGAAACCAATTGCACAGTTACAAGATGGGTGGATACCTGGCTCAGCAAAACTACGAGCGAAAAGGATCTTGGAATTGTCGTAGATCCCAAGCTAAATATGAGCCAACAGTGTGATGTGGCTACAAAAAAAAGCAAATGCTGTTTTAGGCTACCTTAAGAGAAATATAGTTTCCAAATCCTGCGAGGTGCTAGTCCCCTTCTATTCAGCATTGGTTAGGCCTCACGTTGAGTATTGTGTCCAGTTCTGGACATTGCACTTCAAGAAGGATGCTAACAAATTGGAACAAGTTCAGAAGAAGGTGACAAGGATGATCAGGGCGCTTGGAAACCAAGCTTTATGAGGAAAGGCTGAAAGAATTGGGCATGTTTAGCCTTGAGAAAAGAAGGCTGAGGGGTGATATGATAGTACTTTTCAAATACATGAAAGGCTGTCATACAGAGGAGGAGCAAGATCTGTTCTCAATCATCCCAGAGTGCAGGACACACAAGAATGGGCTCAAGTTAACGGAAGCCAGATTTCGGTTGAATATCAGGAAAAACTTCCTAACTGTTAGAGCAGTATGACAGTAGAACCAGTTACCTTGTGAGCTGGTGAGTGCTCCAACAGTGGAGGCCTTCAAGAAAAACTTAGATAATCACCTGGCAGATAGGCTTTGATTGTATTCCTGTGTTGAGCAGGGGTTGGACTTGATGGCCTTGTAGGCCCCTTCCAACTTCACTTTTCTATGATTCTATGTTAATCACATATTACTTCAGGTAGTGTGAAAGTACCTAAAGATAAAGTGAATTACTGTTAGGAAGCCTTATGCTGCAGCACTATCAGCAGCCTACTATTTTTATCCTAATCTATATAGAATATAATCAGTATAGCCCACTGATAAGATTCAATCCTTCTCGATTTTCCTTACAAAAATATTTTGCAGTTGCCAAAAAATTTGCAAGTACATACGGACTGATGCGTCTTTCCATGGGAGATGCCATCCGTTGGGTGTTACAGAATCAGCCGGAGACTGAACTCGCACTTGTGTTGTTGTGGCACCTTCATAAAGGGATGACGGCACCTGATGAACTTGCCGTGAGGGCTCTGGACATTGTATTGATGGACACAGTGTGCAACACTTCAGGGTGAGATCACCTTTCATTTTACTTATTGCACAACTTTATCTGCAAAAGAACAAGAATGTTATCCATGTCACATACCGTCCCCCAGGTCATTTGAACAGGCCCCAGTGCCCTCCAGCACTACAGAAATATTTTTTGAGGGGGAAAAATGTATGTGGGAAGGAGGAAGACTCTGCTCCCGGATGCCTCCAAGACTAGTAATTTTGGCTTTAAAATGGTTTTAAATGCATCCAATTTTCATTCCCTTTTATCTTAATTTATCTAATCTACATGTAATTTAGGGACATTTTCACCACTTCCAAATTTCAGAAACATTTAATTTCAACTCATGGAAAGTTCCCTATCTGCCCCATTTCGGGTTCTGAGATTCCTTTTTGCTCTAGGGAATCCTTCAGGAGTCTTGGGATGTGGGCGTGAGAAACCTTTAATACTAAACAATCACCATCAGATCATCTCTGCAGGGATTGGGGCCACTGGCAGCAATCTAGCAGAACTTGCATGAGTGAAATGGCAATCATGGCATCAGCTCGCAACATTATTACTTTATTTTATTTTATTTAAAGTTTCCTATCTCTCCTTAAATTCTGAGTTGCCCTAGGGATCCCTTTCGATTTGGAGAAGACTTTTGAAGCTTTCGGGGACAGCCTTTAATATCCAAAAAATCATTACTGCCAGGCCCAATCTCAGGAGCAGGACTGGCGGCGCGTTTTGAACATTAGAGATTTTCAGTGGTTTTCCTAGATTGAAGGGAGCCTTGGAACCTGAGGTGGGGGAATAAGAAACCTTAGATTAAATTAAACTAAATTAAATTTAAAGTCACTAGCTGTTGACTTCATTACTCTTCATTCATTCATCCACCCATTATATTTATTACATTTTTATGCTGCCCCACTGTGAATAGGCACACTCTGAACAGTGTACAAACAGCCAGGATACCAAATTACAGACAACAGTGACAAAAAAACCCCAATCAAACATATTAATAAGCAACAAATAAACAGATATAATAAAAATACAAAATATCCTCTGCTGAACTGAAGATTGTTGTCGTTTAGTCATTAAGTCGTGTCCGACTCTTTGTGACCCCATGGACCAGATCACGCCAGGCCCTCCTGTCTTCCAGTGCCTCCCAGAGATGGGTCAAATTCATGTTGGTAGCTTCGTTGACACTGTCCAACCACCTTGTCCTCTGTCATCCCCTTCTCCTCTTGCCTTCACACTTTCCTAACATCACAGGCTTTTCCAGGGCATCTTCTCTTCTCATGAGATGACCAAAGTATTGAAGCCTCAGCTTCAGGATCTGTCCTTCCAGTGCACACTCAGGGTTGATTTCCTTCAGAATGGATAGGTTTGTTCTCCTTGCAGTCCAGGGGACTCTCAAGAGTCTCCTCCAGCACCACAATTCAAAAGCATCA